CCCCCCCCCCCCCCCCCCCCCAGAGAGAGAGAGAGAGAGAGCATCCACACGTACATATACCATACATGGGCGGTGGGTGGGTGGGCGTCTCTCTCTGTCTGTCTGTTTGTCTGTTTGTCGCCCGTTAGCTAACTTTGATTTGTTGCCTGTCGCTCTTGTCCGCCACCAGCCGAGCGGCCAGCTGGAAGTCGCCTCGCTCACTCGCACGCTTGATCATGACTTGCCGCCGGACGGCCTCGTCCATGAGGTTCAGCAGCATGTCCTCCACCTTGCTCTGCGACTCCTCCGACCCGCGACGGGGCAGACGCGCTAACGGGTTGCTGTGACCACAAACACACAAACACACATCAGTGTGGGTCGTTCGGGATGGGGGAGTGCTGCTTGCTTACCTGGCCAGGATGCATCTCCTTTTGTCGCCGTCGTCCATTCCCTCAAACTCATCCACTGAACGGACCTCGACAGCCTACACATGGGGCCATGGATGGATGGATGGACGGACGCATCGTGTGTGTGTGCAGGTCTACACACATATGACAGGCACACACCACACACCTTTTTGCCCAGTCTGTCAATGATCCCTTCTTCGTCGAGGTCCTCCGGCGCCAAAGAGCCGGCCGCACTGCAAAGACACACACATACACACACACAAGCGCATTTGTCTGCCTGCATTCTGCCCATGTGCGCGTGAGTATGTGTGTGTGTGTGTGTGTGTATGTCCAGACTCGACTCACAGCGCAGGATCGATGGAGATCTTCAGGGCGCCGTCCAGCAGCTTGAACCTGAACCAAACTCAAACACCAGACTCGGCAGGGTCCCGTCTGTCTTTCGCCGCCTACTCACTGTGCCTTGAGTGCCAGCTTGTCCCAGAGGCTCCGCTGCACATGGATCGGCTGACGCAACACCGTCGCTATACCTGCACACACACACATGCACGCACACACACATAGATGCATGCGATGCATGCCACCCCGCTCCCCCCGTGCTGCCCACCCCCCCCGCCCCTCCACGTCCCCACTCACCGATGGCTTCGTCTCTGCTGGCTTGCGCGACCACCTCTTTGCCCCCGGTGGCCGGCTTGGGCACCAGCTCGCCCATGAGCACCATCATCTCGCTCAGCTGCGTCAGTCGGACGTACCCAGCCACACTCAGCCCCACCCCTGCCAGGGACGTCGGTGTGTCAATCGACTCGATGTACACCTCCTTGGCCTCTGCACGCAGCACCTCGCGAGCAGCCGCCAGCAAGGCGGCTGAGGGAACCAACACAGACAGACAGACACAAGCAGACAGACATTGACGACTGTCCCCACAGGTCAGGTGCGTACCGTATTGTGTCTGGAAGGTCCTTCTGTTCCAGAAGGGCCCCTGGCCGACGTAAAGGGCGTCGAAGATCTTGCGCTGGCCGATCGACCGGCCCTCGTCGCTCCACTCGTAGGGAAGCGTGTCGAACAGACCAAGATTGTACCTGCATAGACAACAAACACACACACACACGTGTGCACACATGAGGGCGTCCCTCCCTGTGTTTCTTTCTTTCTTTCTGTGTCTTGGTGGTGTGTACCGCCCCGCACCGTACCCGAGTTCCATCGGCGACACGGTGAGGTCCCTGGCGGTGACAACCCTGGTGGCTGACGAGTCGACGGGGGCCTTGCGCTCGACGGCCAGCGGGCCCGTAGAAGGGGACTCTGGCCGCGAATACTGAACGAACAAGCAGCACACAAACAAACAAACAAACACACACACACATGCATCCATCGCCATGCACTGACGTCACTCACACGTGCAGACAGTACTTATTTACTTGTTCCAAGGTTTGCGCGAGTGCTTCCCTGAGCACATTGGTCCTCTGTGGGGCGATGAGGATGGGCAGGACGCGGGCGGAGGGGTCGACCACCCCTGCTGACGCTGACAGAGGCGGCGACTGGGACAGAAACGCACATGTCTGGTTGCGATACTCACCTGGTCGACAATTAAACAGACAGACAGACAGACAGCCAACACACAGCTCAGCACACTGCAGTGCATGTCTGTGCTGTGCTGTGCTGTGCTGTGCTGTGTGTACCGATTCCCACAAGGAATGCCTCCACGAACTGCGATTGCCTGTCCGTCCCCCTGCCCTCCCTCGTCAACCCAAGTTGGCTCCTCGTTCGCAAAGACCGACAGCCCGGGTGAGGCGGCAAGAAAAACGCCTCAGTCATGGTGGCCACTGTCGCACAGACGACCTCACCCAGCATGGACACAAGCAGCAGCACCAACAGACGCGGATAAGCGGATGAGTAAGGCACACGAAAGATGGCGCATTCGCGAAGTTTATGGGTGGATCTTTGTCTGGTCGCCATGGCGGCTTCTTCTCCGTGTTCAGTCTTCCTTCTGCGTCTGTTTTTCTTTCCACGCGTCTGCGAGCTTAGCTCACACATTTGCGAGCTTAGAAAAAACACGCAACACACACACGCGATGGATGACCGCGACGAACGGGCATCATCGCCCTCATCATCTCCGCCAGACGAATGCAATGATCACGACACCTCGCCTATTCCGCCGTCCAGGCCTGCGCTTTACCCCTCACTCACAGCGCCTGGGGGGATCATGGTGGATGAGCGGGATGCACGACGGAGCATGGGTGAGCATGGCTGCATGCTGGTGCATGTGTCGATGCATGGCTGGGTGTGTGTGCGTGTGTGTGTGTTGACTGACTGCAGGGATGTCGCCTCATTGGCCTGAGAGCACTGACGAGGCCAACGAGCAGACGTCCTACCGGGCACTTAACTTCATCGCCGAGCAGAGAGACTATGTGCGCTCAGAGGTAATGTACGGGCAGGCTCACAGAGAGAAATAGCCTGTCGATGGATGCGTTGATGCACACGTCTGCCTGTGCTGTGTGTCAACTGGTGGATTGGATTGGCTGGCCATCGACCGCACCAATCAATGATCAGAATGCCGACTCTGACAGCGACACTGACAGCGACACCACACCCTCACCCACCAGCAACGCATCACCAAGACGAGCACACGTAAGTACTCACACACACAAACCGATCCGATAGATAGGCAACTGACTGCCCAAGTGCCCCTTGATGATGTGTGTGTGTGCAGGCCTCATGGCGCCGGCGGGGGCGCGCCGCCACGTTCCAGCAGAGGCAGACCAGGAGCGACCAGGCCCTTGGCACACACACCTCCCACCAGCCGCAGGTCCAGCCACAGCTGAACGAGGAGCCGCCAATTGAGGAACAGGACGAGCAGCAGCAGCAGAGCGAGCAGCCGGCTGCCGCCGCTGCAGCTGCCGAGACTGGAGAGGAGGGGACAGATGAGGATTGGTTCGACGTGTCTGGTGTGGCGATCGAGCCCGCTGACGGGGCGGCGCAGGTGGGCGGCCGGGGGCGGCATGTCAGGACAGTCGGACGACTGGGGCTGAATGCCGTAAGCCCAAAGATTTTGGGGAAGAGAGGGCACAACACACGACTACATCATGTGTGTTGAACGTGTTGGTGGGTGAAAACAGGTGAGTGCGGCCAAGGCTGGCCTGAAGCTGGCCGATTACGTGTCGGCGACGGCGCACACGATCGCGACGGACGTCAATGAGTCGACGGTCAGCCTGATGCAGCGGGGGGTGCAGTCGATGGAAGACGCGCTGCACAGCCAAGTGGAGCGGGTACGTCACACTCACACTCACAGAGGGAGGGATATGTGTGTCGCGCCATCATCATGACCAGTGCGCATCTGTGTGTCGATCATCAGTTTGGCGACGGGGACCATCAGTCCAACCTGCGGCACCGCATTCGGTCCTCGGCGCAGACCATGCAGACGTCAGCAGACCAGACCCTCCCGCCCTCCCCCTGTCTCCCAAACTCGTTCTTATGATTCATTGTTTGTGTATGCTGTTGATTGATTTCTGCAGTGTGGTTGCGACGGTGGGTGGCGGTGTGGGTCGTTTGATCCAGCTGTCGCGGACGGCGGGCCGGCACATCATACAAGCGTCTCAAAGCGGTACACACGCATAGCCTACACGTGGGAGACCATGACGTGAGCACCATCATCTCTCCCCGTGTGTGTGTGTTTGTTGTGTCATTCAATGAACGAGCAAGCAGGCTTGAAGCTGCTGGACGATGGGATCGGTGCAGCGCTGAGGGACGCGGGATGCAACGTAAGCTGAGCGGCTTGCTTTGCCAGACCACATAAGATGAGCAGAGCACAGCACAGCACATGTGTGTGTCCACTCACTCCACAGGTGCTAGAGATGAAGAAGGGCGGCCTGTTCGACGTCGCCCACCAGATTCTCGACCTTGCCCTGCCATTTGCCGGTACGTACCGTACCTGTGTGCGTGTGTGCTATGCTATGTGTCTGTGGTGTGTACCCCTCCCGACCTGCACAACAGGGGACGGACTCGACTCATTCACTCATTCTCACTCTGTCTCGTCTCGTCCCTATGTGTGTGTGTGTGTGTGTGTGTGTGCAGATGTGTCCCCATTGGAGCTTGGTCGTGCCCTGGTGGCGTTCGGCACCCTGCAGGAGGCCGCCGCGTCGCCCTACCCCCCCACCAATGGGGTCTTCATCGACTGCGACACGCCGGACAACAACCGACTCATCAACAGGCACGAAAGAAACCCAGGCCACAGGCACTGACATCATGAATGACGCACACACAAGTCTGTCTGACATCCGTGGGTGTGGGTGTGTGCCTGGTTGTCTTGTCAGGTTGAGTCGAGCGTACCGGATGTGTCTGGCGGCCTACCCCCCTGGCGCAATGCAGATCTGTGGGCTCTCGCTACAGGTGAGTCACTGAGTGAGTCAGCAACAGCACTACACCACAATGGGTGGGATGAGGGCTCATTTCACATGCC